AAAAAGTATCCCAGTTTACCATGTTGAGTTGGCAGTGTACAAAAATTAACAGCCATATTGGTCAAGGAATGTTGCACTTAATTTTTTTCCATTTGTACAGGGGTAATGCACTGTATTAAATATGTAAGGTCTTAAAAAAAAAGATTCAATACCAGAAGCACAACAAAAGAATTGTTTGGTAATTGACTTGTAAATCAATTGCAATAGCCTTCATCATTAGCCTTCATCAAAATCATTAGCCTTCATGAAAACTTAAAAGCATTTGAGTATCAGAAGTTTTACCAAAAAGCAAGAAGATAATCACAATCAGATAAAAATATTTTCAAATCATGTATGGTGAAGGATTGGTATTGAAAAATCTGTAGTCTCAATAAACCATGGACAAATGAAAAAAAAAAAAAATCCTTCACTGTTGATCCTGTTTAAATGAGTTTGTAAGGGCCAGCCCTTTAGTTAGCTAAAGACCTTTGTCATTACTGTTATGTCCTCCCAAAATGACCTTCACGGACCTACCTAGCTTCACATGTTGCTTTCAAGAGTGGCTTCTTCAGAAAGCTGGTCCACATTTTTAACAGTTAACCTCTCCTGGGAGACTAGCTCTTTTGTTCACATTTAAGGCTTCCTGTTGCTCTGCTGTTTTAGCCCTGATGCACAACAGCTTTGTGAGCATTTGTACTTCATGCCTGAAGTACAATTAAAGTACCAGGGAGAAGATGCAAGAAACAAATGGTGTGAAGAGAGAAGACTGGATCAGGTTCTTGTTGGCGGCCAGTGCTGTTTATGATTGCTCTTGCTGGTGACAGATGTTGAAAACCAACACATTTCAGCATGTTTCAGACTCTGGTTTCTGGTACATAAGAGAGAGGAAAAACTGAGGGCTGAGTGTTCCCAGTCCCAGGCAGCCTCTATTTAGATATTCCTGAGAGCAGCCCAGACCTCAACTGCATGTGCTTGGGATATAATAGTAGTCTTGTATGTTGAATAAACTGTGTTTTAAATTAAAGTTTAAGCTTTATTAAAAAAACAAAAACAAAAACTTTTTCTTAGATTTTTATGTATATGTATTTAGGGGTATGTGTGTGTGTAGAGGCATGCACATTCATATGGAGGTCAAAGAAGTTTTTGTTTGTTTGTTTTGTTTTTTGGGATAGGATTTCTTTGTGTATCCTGGCTGTCCTGGAAACTAGCTCTATAGACCAGGCTGGCCTTGAACTTACAGAGCTCCAACTTCCTCTGCCTTCCAAGTTCTGGGATTAAAGGTGTACACCACCACTGCCTAGCTAGAGAACATTTTTCTGGAGTTGGTTCCCCCTTCCACATTTATATAGGTTCTGGGAATTGAACTTAGGTTGCCAGGCTCCAACAAGTACCTTATTTACCGAGCTATGTTGCCAGCCCTGGTCTTTAAATCTTTAACATGAGAATTGGGGTAAGTGAGAGTTTTGTCATTTCAGGGCTTAAGTCTAAAGAAGATGGTCTCTCTCTGTGATATGAATGCCATTCAGATGGAGGAAGAGCCTGACCAAGGGCACCTTATTGGTGATTTCTCCAAGGTGAGTTTAGTTATGTTTGCCTTTACTACCTATGTGTGTGTGTAGGGGTGTGCATACACTTGCCTGTGAATATACATGTGTGCCTCTGTGTGTGTGTGTGTGTGTGTGTGTGCGCGAGAGAGAGAGAGAGAGAGAGAGAGAGAGAGAGAGAGAGAGACAGAGAGACAGAGAGACAGAGAGAGACAGAGAGAGAGAGTGTACTGGGATCAAAGGCGTGAGCCACCAACACCTGGCAGAGTCATTTTGAATTTTAATCTCTGCTTGCAGAGGATGCTAGAATGCTAGATAAAACCATACATCCTCACTAAATGCTCTTTGTTGACTTGAAGGTAGAGTAAACCTCAACTCTAAGTCCATCTAATAAGAATTGATTATCCGGCTGGAGAGATGGCTCAGAGGTTAAGAGCACTGGCTGCTCTTCCAGAGGTCCTGAGTTCAATTCCCAGCAACCACATGGTGGCTCACAACCATCCGTTATGAGATCTTGTGCCCTCTTCTGGTGTGCAGATATACATGGAAGCAGAATGTTGTATGCATAATAAATAAATAAAAATCTTTAAAAAAAATTGTTTATCTAGGAAAATCCAGAACCCTGGGAAATGAATGAAACTTTTTTTTTTTTTTTTTTTTTTTTTTTTTGGTTTTTAGAAACAGGGTTTCTCTAAGGCTTTGGAGCCTATCCTGGAACTCGCTCTGTAGACCAGGCTGGTCTCAAACTGACAGAGATCTGCCTGTCTCTGCCTGCTGAGTGCTGGAGGAAAGGTGTGTGCCACCACTGCCCAGCCAAGTACATCTTTTCTGAGGCAGGATAGTGAGTCTGGGCTATGTAGTGAGATCCTATTTATGAGCAATAGTGGACAGTTTTCAGTGAGGGCTGGGGAGGTAACTCAGTGATAGAATATGTGCTTAGCATGTGTAAGGCCCTGGGTTCAGACCTCAGACAACCAATCTTTTCAATAGTAAACAGTTATTTCATCATTTGTCTTTGTTTTTTTATTTTTATTGTTAATACATTTACTCTTTTAGAGCAAGCATATGTGTGCATAAGAATGTTTATGTATTCATATCATAATTCCAGAGGACAACTTATGGGAGTTGGTTTTCTCCTTCCACTATGTAGGTCCTGGGGTTAACTCAGGTTTTCAAGCTTGGTGGCAATTGCCTTTACCCACTGCCCTCTCTCTGGTCCTATGTTTTTGTTTTTTTCTAGACAGGATTTCTTTGTGCAGTAGTCCTGGCTGTCCTGGAGCTCACTATGTAACCAGGCTGGCCTCAAACTCATAGAGATCCACCCGACTCTGCTTCCTGAGTGCCAGGATTAAAGGCCCATGCTCCACTACTGCCCGGCTATATGTTTTTAGATTGTTTTTTCAAAACAGGGATGTTTTTGTTTCTTAAGATAGCATCTCATATAGCCAGCAGTGGTGGCACATGCCTTTAATCCCAGCACTCAGGAAGCAGAGTCGGGTGTATCTCTGTGAGTTCAAGGCCGGCTTGGTCTACAAAATGAGTTCCAGGATGGCCAGGGCTGTTACACAGAGAAATCCTGCCTAAAAAACATGCATGCATGCATACATACATACATACATCCCATCCCATCTCATAGCTCAGGATCCTTCTGCTTCAGTCTCCCAAGTGCTAGGATTACAGATGTTGGGCATTTAATCTTTTGGTTTTGGGTGTGTAGGGGTTACTGTGTGTGCTTTAGTGTGTGCATTCATGTGGAAGCCATAGGTCAACCTTTAGTGGTGTTCCTTGGGAGCTGTCAGCATGTTTTTTAAGATCAGGTCTCTCACTGGCACCTGGTGCTTACAGATGAGTCTAGACTGGCTGGCCAGCAAGCCCCAAGGATCCTTGTGCCTCTGCCTTGCTAGTTTTGGGATTGCAAACACATACCATCTTGACTTTCTTTTTTTGTGGATGCTATGATCAATGCAGGTCCTTATACATGTATGATATTGCCAACTGAGCTATCCCCCCAGCCCCCATTTTATTGTCAACAACAACAACAATAAAAGAATTATTTATTTTTATTTTGCGTTTTTGATATGCTTTGCCTGAATATATGTATGGGCAAGTGAGCCATAATGTGGGTGCTGGGAAATAAACCTTGGTTCCTTGCAAGAGCAATGTCTCCAGACCCGTATTTTACCATTTTCAGTAGCTATTCATTAGTTAATTCTTTGGCTACTCATGATTTCTTTCTTGTGGGATATTTAGTTTTATAATTTTCCTTATGAATAAAATAGGCATATTTGTGGAGAAACATAAAATTTTGTATGCATCCTTGATAAGTTCCTAGGGATCAGTTCTTAGAAACAGAATTGCTGTGTTTGTTTTGTTGTGTGTGGTTTTTTTGTTTGTTTTTGTTTTGTTTTGTTTTTTGAGACAGGGTTTCTCTGGCTTTGGAGGCTGTCCCAGAACTTGCTCTTGTAGACCAGGCTGGTATGGCACTCACAGAGATCCGCCTGCCTCTGCCTCCTGAGTGCTGGGACTAAAGGCGTGTGCCACCAATGCCCGGCTTTGTTTTGTTTTCTAATATCACTTGGAAGCAAGATGTTGTGTTGCATACCTTTAATCCTAGAGGCAGAGGTGTGTGGGGGAGGGGATCTCTGAGTTAGGGCCAGCCTGGTCTACAAAGTGAGTTCCAGGACACATCTACACAAGGAAACCCTGTCTCAAAAACAAAAACAAAAAAAGACTTACTTAGAAAGACACCACAAAAATCCTTGATTGAGTCTTGGATTGGGAATTCTTGCTCTAATTTCAGTTCTTGGGTCTTTCTAGTTGTGTGCGCTGCCAACGGTGTCAGGGAAACACCAAGATTTGAAGTACGTCACCCCAGACACAGTAAGCAAATTTCTGGAGATGGTAACTGGGCATATCATATCAACTGAACTGATTTGTGCTTCTAGAAGTAGTTTTAAGTTTTCTCCTTTAGATACAAATCTCACCTGATTTCTGAAAAACTCAGTGAATGGGGAACTGTTTCCCACGTCTTCTCTGGGTTCTCTTCTGGGTTCTCTAGCTACTACCTTTGCTACTGATGTCTCCTGAAAGGCTGACTGTGGCCATGCTTGCCTCAGATAGCCTCAATGTCAGTCATTTGGGTCCTCTATCCAGGCATTTCTACTCATTTGTGGGATTGGGCTTAACCATTGGCATGTTGCAAATACAGGCTAAATCTGGAGGTTGTGCATACAGTGCAGTCTGGGGTGACTAATGGGAATATGCAAAAAGACATTGTGTGGCTCCTCTCTCTCAGAGTGACGGTGAACAGCATATTCAGTCATCTCTTTCTGTACAGGTGGCTGCTTTACTGTCTGGAAAGTTCCAGGATCTGATTGAGAAGTTTTACATCATTGATTGCCGCTATCCATATGAGTACCTGGGCGGACACATCCTGGTGAGGTTATACTGTGAACACTATCAAGAGAGAGGCGGAGATTTGGGTTTATATGGGCAAAGAGTCCTGTGAAATCTAGCAGTAGGACAGAGATTATACATTCGGATCACATCAGAGGAAGTCCTTATTTCTGCTTTAAGTCTGTACCTTGAGGGAGCCCTTTCCTTCTTTGGCAATCTCCTCCTTTTGTATGGGAGCCTCCAAGTAAAAACATCCCAAGAACCAGGAAGCATCTAATCTTCACAAACAGTTCTCCGTTTAACCTGTGCTCCGGTGGTTCAGTTCTGTGAACATGTGTGGTGCAGCCACATACCAAACTATGCCAAGCCCTAGAGTATATAATAGAGAAAGGCTTAGGCTCTTGCCCTGGAATTCCTTCTTGCCTAGTTTTCTGGCCTAAATATCCCAGAATAGTATCCCAGACATTCCTGAATATTTTGACTGTACACAAGCCCTTGAGGGAAAACTTGCTGACATCCTTTTTCTACAGGGAGCCTTAAACCTGTATAGCCAGAAGGAACTGCATGAGTTCTTTCTGAAGAAGCCTATTGTCTCTCTGGACATCCAGAAAAGAATCATCATTGTGTTCCTCTGTGAATTCTCCTCAGAGAGAGGCCCCCGAATGTGAGTGTCTGTGGTCGGTGATGGTAATGGATCTTGAATGAGACTTGACAGACCAATGTAGACAGAATTAACCTGAATGAGCACCTTCCACTGCAGTTTGATGGTGTAGAGATTTTGAGACCTGGATCTTGGCTAGTGCACATAGGCCATGGGGGTGGGCCTTGAGGGTTATAGTCCAGCCCTATTTCCTGTCCCATACCTGCTTTCTGATCCACCAATATGTGAACAAGCCGTGCAATAACCTCCCACTGCCAGCAGTGGGGCTACAATAGCCTTCATGCCTTAGGGCTACTGCAGTAGGGTGTTTCCAGATTCAAAAGTTTGAGCACTAAAGGAAAGAATTGAGCACTGGAGATGTAACTCAGCTGGAAGAGTGTGTGCCTAGAATGTATGTCCTTGGGTTTGGTCCCCAGTGTTGCATAAAACTGGGCATGATTGTATATAATCCCAGCACAGAAATGTGGGGGTCAGAAGTTTAAGCTCATCCTGGGTTCTAGATCAGCCTGGGCTAGAGAGTCTGTCTTAAAAAAAGAGCCAGATATGGTGGTGCAGGCCTATAATCCCAACACTTGGGAGGCAGAGGCAGGCAGATCTCTGTAAATTTGAGGCCAACCTGGGCTATATGGTGGGACCCTGTCTCAAAAACAAAACACAAACAAAAAACCATGTAAATACACACACACACACACACACACACACACACACACACACACACACACACAAACACGAAGAAGAGATTTGGGAATGAAGCTTCAGTGGAGGAAAGGGAAAAGAGAATGTTATCTGGACCTTGGTTAGCAAACTTTTGTGTGTTGGGGGTGGTAGCTAGGGATTAACTCTGTCTTCTGTATACTTGACAATACTTTACCCCAGCCTACATCCCAGTCCTTTTCTGAAGAAGCCTACTGTCCCTCTGGACATTCAGAAAAGAATCATCATTGTGTTCCTCTGTGAATTCTCCTCAGAGCGAGGCCCCCGAATGTGCCGTTCTCTGAGAGAAAAAGACAGAGCTCTGAACCAGTATCCAGCATTGTACTACCCAGAGCTGTATATCCTCAAAGGGGGCTACAGAGACTTCTTTCCAGAATATACGGTAAAGGGACAAGGCAGCAGGAAGGGGGGAGTGGAGGGAGGAGTGGAGTAGGGGCTCAGACTCAGAGGAGCCAGCTTTAGCATGCAGCCTCCAGGGACTATAAACATCCTAAGAAGAAACTGCTGTTCCTCAGCCACTCCTTAGTAGGCAGAGCTCAGGAGTCCAAGGAGTCCTTGACCTTGTCTCCTACCTTTCAGGAGCTGTGTGAACCACAGAGCTACTGTCCTATGCACCACCAGGACCACCAGGCTGAGCTGCTGAGATGGCGAAGCCAGAACAAAGCCCAGGAAGGGGAGCGGCAGCTTTTGGAGCAGATTGCCCTCCTGGTGAAGAAGGATGTGAACCCACAATAGTGGCCATGACAGTGGCAGTGAAGTCACTGGAAGACACTGGACACCCTGAACATAGTCATCTCTGTCACCAACGACAGGATCGTAAAAAAGTGTCTGCAAACACTGGGGATAGTCAGGCATGGTTCAAACACCTGTAGTCCCAGCACTAAGGAGGTAGATGCAGGAGGATCTCTGTGAGTTTAAGGCAGGCATGGGCTACACTTGACCCTGTCTCAAAAACAAACAAATAAAAAGCAAACAAAACCCATCAAACAAAAGCCTCCAGACCATCTACAAGCCAATAGGCTGTCATACTGATGAAATGCTAACCCTGAATACTAGCTTGGTGTCAGTGAGCTGCTGGCTGGGTGCTGGATGATTAGCAGAGGTATTTGCATAGCTTCAGAGAGTTCATATAGTTTTCTTCCAGGTCTCCCACATCTTACCATAAACCAAACAGTTAGTTCTCTGACCAGACATGGCTTTTTGAGATCGTTGCTTGCCCTCTTTCTTTGTATTTTCTTCCATTGATCTTAACTGGAATGGGAAAGTAAACATAGGAGAAGTGTGATTGTGAACCCAGTCTCTTCCAAGAAGATCTACATAAGGAGAAGAGTCATGGATGAGGCTCCCTTAAGGGCGAAGACTGTGGTGTGTGGTAGATGGCTTGCCCAGCAGTCACAAGAACCTTGAGTTTGAGCTCCAGCACTACAAACAATTTAAAACTACTGTCTTAGGAGATGGGTCAAATGAGTAAAACATTTGCTGCATGAACATGAGAACCTGAGTTCCAAACTCAAGAAGCCACATAAAAACCGAGCACTGTAACTGCATCTGTAGTATGTACCATGAAATGGGGATGGGGACAGAAGTGCTGGAAACTCAGGCCAGCTAAGCCAGCATACACATGAGTGAACAACAGAAGAGACCCTGACTTACTTATGGTGGAAGATGAAAGTCAACACCTGAAGTGATGCCCTGACTCTCTCTCTCTCTCTCTCTCTCTCTCTCTCTCTCTCTCTCCTTCTCTCTCCCACTCATGGCTCACTTCAGATTTTTTAAAAAGATTATATTTAAAAAGTCAGTGCTGTCTGCATGTATGTCTGTATGCCACAATAGGGCACCAGATCTCATTATAGATGGTATGCATAGATGGTGTTTTGTTGCTGGGGATTGAACTCAGGACCTCTGGAAGAACAGCCAGTGCTCTTAACCTCTGAGCCATCTCTCCAGCCCCTTCACTTCAGATTTTAAGTCTGAAATTCTGAGGTTATAACTCAACAAAACTGAGTTTTAAAACCTTCTGTTGCCAGGTGGTAGTGACAAACACCTTTAATCCCAGCACTTGGGAGGCAGAGGCAAGAGGATCTCTTGAGTTTGAGGCCAGTCTGATTTACACAGCATGTTTCAGGACAGCCAGGGCTACAAGGAAAACATCTCAGAAAAACAAAAATCAATTTCTGTCAAGTATGGAGCAAATGCCTATAATCTGTGTCCTTGATGAAGTAGACCTAGGAGGACCTGAAGTTCAGGTCATATTCAGCTCCATGCCAGTTCAAGGCTACTTCAGCTACTTGAGACCCTATCTCACAAAATCATCAAAACAAAACAGAAAGATTTCTTTTTCCAGGTAATTTGATGCACCTTGAGGCATAGTAACCATTGCTCTGGAACTAAGGGAAAGTTTCAATTGTATTCTTAAACTGGACTTGGTGGTAAATGTTTGTATCCCTAAGAGGTTACAGCAGGAAGATGATGAGTTCCAATGTAAGACATATAGTCTGGTGAGGTTTTTCATTGTCTTTTCTTTGAAAAGAAAATTCAAAGACTAATTTATGTGTATGAGTCTTGCTGTGTGTGCCATTTGTGTGCCTGGTACTGGAGGTCATCATAGGACACTAGATTACCTGGAACTGGAGTTAAAGATGAGAGTAAGCCACTGTGTGGGTGCTGGGAGCAGCCAGTGCTCTTGACCACTAAACCATCTCACTAGCCCCTGTTTTTCATTTTTCATTTTTTAAATTATTTCACTCTAGCTCAGGCCAGTCTGGAGTAATTGGGTTGGTGAGCACTTGTCTAGGATGCACGAATTCCTGGGTTCAGTCTCCAGCACCAGGATGGGCATGCTGGATACATGCCTGTAATCTCACCTACTGGAGATAGAAGGGACATTAGACAGTCAATGTCATTCTTGGGTGCATATCAGCAAAGGCTACATAAGACCATGGCTTTAAAATGGCAAGAAGGGGACTGGAGAAATGACTTAGTGGTTAAGAGCACTGGCTGTTCTTCCAGAGGACCCTGGTTCAATTCCCACAACCCACATAGCAGTGCACACCTGTTAATAACTGCAAGACCTGACACCCTCACACAGACATTTGCAGACAAAACACCAATGCAAATAAAATAAAAATAAATTATTTTTAAAAATGGCAGGAGGGTGGAGAGGTGTTTTGGCAGTTAAGAGTATTTGTGGTTCAGTTCCCAACATTGTCATCAAGGAGCTCACAGCCACCTGTCACTCCAGCTCCAGGGGATCCAATGCCTTCTTATGGCCTCCATGGGCACCCACACATGGCAGACACTTAAAATTTATTTTCCTTTAATTTGTCTTTTTTTTTTTTTTGTAAAGAACTGGGAAGATGACTTAGTGGTTAAGAATACTTGTTGTGGGGCTGGAGAGATGGCTCAGAGGTTAAGAGCACCGACTGCTCTTCCAGAGGTCCTGAGTTCAATTCCCAGCAACCACATGGTGACTCACAACCATCTGTTATGAGATCTGGTGCCCTCTTCTGGTGTGCAGATATACATGGAAGCAGAATGTTGTATACATAATAAATAAAATTTTTAAAAAAAGAACACTTATTGTACTGGGTGGTAGTGTTACTCACCTTTAGTCCCAGCACTCCTGAGGAAGAGGCAAATGGATCTCTGTGAGTTCGAGACCAGGACAGCCAAGACTACACAAAGAAACCCTGTCTTCAAAAACCAAAAAACACGTTGCTTTTGCAGAAAACACCCATATGGTGGCTCACAAACCATCTCTAATCCCAGTTATAGGGTATCAGACACCCTCTTCTGGGGGCATCTGGCACACATGGGATTTATATACATACATGAAGGCAAAACACTCAAAAATCTAAAAAAATTATACCCACATACATATATGTATCCATGGCCATGTTGCTCATGCAGTGATCAGAGGATAAATTGCAGGAGTGGATTCCTGCTTATTACCTAACTTGAAATGAAATCTGGGACATGAGGCTTGGAGGCAATGCCCTCACAGACAGCTATCTATCTCACCAGCTGTGCTGGTTAGTTTTTGATGGTATTTGACAGGTGCTATGGTCAGGTGGAGAGAAGGAATCCAAGTCCCTGCATGGGGTTAGCCTATATATAGGTAAGTCTGCAGGACATTTTCTTGATTGACGGGTGATGTGGGAGGTCCCAGCTCACTCTAGGTGGTGCCACCCCTGGGCTGGTGAGCCTGGAATAAAATCAGTCAGGGCTGGGGAGATGGTTCAGTGGTTAAGAGCACTAGACAGTCTTCCAGAGTACCTGGGTTCAATTCTGACCACCCACATGACAGCTCATAGCTGTAACTCCAGTTCCAGGGTATCCGACACCCTTATATAGACATATGTGGAGGCAAAACCACCAATGCATATGAAATAAAAACAAGTATTTTTTTTAGAAAAGAAGAAAGCAGTCTGAGCAAGCCAGTAAACAGTGTTCTTTCATGGCCTCTGTATCAGCTCCTGCTTCCAGGTTCTTGCCCTGAGTTCTGTCTGACTTCCCTTAGTGGTGGATTGTGACCTGAGAGTTATGACATAAACCCTTTCCTTCCCCAGTTGCTTTTGGTCATGGTATTTATCGCAGCAGAAAAAAACAAAAACAAAATAAGATTCTCTACATCAAGAGTTCCAGGACAGCCTCGGCTACAAAGAGAAACCCTGTCTTGAAAAACAAACAACAAAAAGAAAAAGAAAAGCCACACTTCAGCAGTGGTCTGACAGTGGCTTCTTGGCCATGGCTTCATATGAATTGCCTAAAAATGTCCTAGGCAGGTGGCAGCTCTGAGTTGGTTTCATAATTTCCTTGTCTGTAGCTGGGGTTTTGTTTTGTTTTTCTATTTTTCCAAACTACTCCATTCTATTTTATATCTCAAGGATAAAGTGTAGGATCTAGGTTAGTTGGAAATAGAGATTTGTGTTATATAAAGGTTCGAATAGAAACCTGGGCATGCCCTTAATCCCAACACTCTGGAGACAGAGGCAGGTCTGTGTGGAGGCCAGCCTGGTCAACAGAGCAAGTTCTAGAAGAGCCAGTGCTACACAGAGAAATCCTGTTTTAAAAACAAAACAAAAAGAACAAGAAGGAAGAAAGAAAATAGAAGTGCAAGGAAAGACCAGTTAGACTTCAGGAAGATCTTCCAAACTGCTCTGCAGTGCTCTGGACATTCCCAGAGCTCTTGGAGGTGGGCGGGCTTTCATTAGCGAGACACACAGCTCTGGTACTAGTGACTGAGAGCTCAAGATTAGGAAAGGAGGAAGCACTCCAACACATAGACTAGAGACGACAAACAAACAAAACATTCTTGATGTAAGTGGGTAATAAAGAGGACCGGAGCTGTGGCATGGCCTTGTCTGGCCTGACTGTTTCTTGTGCTTCCCAGCAGAGGGCACTGCTGCGTTCTCAAAGACAGCTTGAGCCTATACTGCAGCTGGCTGTGGGAATGAAGGCTACCACCCTTGCTAAGCAGCCCTTGAACTCAGCCTCTGAAAGTAGAGAGTGAGGGCAGAGAGGAAAGCACCGCTCCCCAGTTCTACCCATACAAGTGCCAGGACCAAGATGAAGTTCCCAGTAGCCTGAGGAAGAAAGTACTCAAAACACCTGACTGTAAGGGGGGAATTCTGGACTCGTTACTGTCCCTAGTAGGTTAATTCTTGATAAATCTCCCCAGATGTAGATTTAAACCCCAATAAGATACTGGTGTCTGTGTGTTCACATTTCAGTAATCTTATTTGTCTATTTTTGGTTTTTTGAACCAGGGTTTCACTGTTTCACCAGCCCTGGGTGTCCTGGAACTCACTCTGTAGGCCAGGCACATACAAGATTTTCTAAACTCACTACATACATACAACCTAATTTTCACAACAATCCTACTGAAAGAAATTGAACAGAGAGGATAACAAAACCACATAACTGCCCCACACAGTGGCTCATGCCTTTAATCCCAGCAGTCAAGACTGAGGCAGTGGGATTGCCTAGAGTTTGAGGTCAGTCTGGATTACATAGTGAGTTCTAGGGTAGTCTGAGCTAGCGTGAGATCTTGTCTCAAATAAACAAAACAGAAAGGCAGATATGGCAGCAGACTTGTAATCCAAGTACGTGAGAGGTAATGGCAAGGAGGTAAGGAGTGGAAGTGCCTTCACAGTGGGTTTAGGACCAGTCTGGGTTACATGAAATCCTGTCTCATAAGGGAGAGGGGCTGGGAATGTAGTTCATTAGAGTGCCTGGCATTCACCAAGCCCTGGGTTTGAGCACAACTATAATTCCAGCATGGTGGAGGTAGAGACAGAGGATTGGAAGCTCAAGATTATCCTTGGCTACTTAGTTAATTCATGAGCAGCCTGAGATACTCAAGAGTACATGTTACAACACACACACACACACACACACACACACACACACACACACACACACACACAGAATAATACAAACAAGAAACTAGTAAATAGTAGTAAATAGTAGTTACCCTTCATGGTATTTTGCTGTTGTTATTTGTTTGTTTTTGAGTTTAAAGCAGCATTGATAAGGATCTAAAAAATTAAATTCATTCTTTGACTTTTTCACATATACATATTGTTATATGTATATATTCTGATTACTCTTCCCTCTACCCGCCCTTGTATCTGTCATATACTTCATGAATTTTGTTGTTACCAAACCCTTAACCAACAACTGTGTTCCTTTTTGGCAGTGGGTGGTGTATCCGGCTTTAAATCTGTATGACATTTGTAG